TTTGCAGTTGAATAATTTTACAAAAGACAAAAGAAAACCTAGTCTATAGATAGAATTCGATCATACGTTTTTAACAGTTATATTTCACACGTTTACAAATCAAAATATTTGAATAAAATTATATATGATAAGTGACATAAATACTTACGTAGTAGACAAAAACTTTTCTTCTTGTTATGTACTATATTTTCGTGTTCGGAAAATTTGTATGTAAATATAGAAATAAGTTTATTTATAAATCCAGCACTATAAAAAAACTTTAACTTTTTAAATATTTGACTTTTCTTCAACTACTATGAATAATGAAATATGTATCGGATGTCTTATTATCGTAAGGGGCGTAGATTTGATATAACTCATCTTCTTCGAGCCATTGATAAGACAAAATTGTAAATAAGATAAAGTGTACAGCAAAGTACGATAGTCGATTGAAAAGTCCGTGGAAAAATAAGAGCTGCTTGATTTTTTTTTATAAATCTTTTTTATTTTTCAACATAGTCTCCTTTTAGGCTTATACACTTCATCCACCGCTGCTCTAGTTTGTTAATCCCTTCCAAATAATAGGATTTGTCCAAGTCTGTAAAATAGACGTTCGTTTCTGCAATCACCTCCTCGTTTGAATAAAATCTTTTCCTCGCTAGCCATTTTTTCATATTAGGGAACAAATAGTAGTCCGACGGAGCTAAGTCTGGAGAATAGGGGGGATGTGAAACGAGTTGGAACCCTATCTCCAACAGATTTGCGGCCACAACTGCTGAGGCGTGAGCTGGCGCATTGTCGTAGTGGAAGAGGACTTTTTTGTGGGCCAATCGTGGACGTTTCTCTAGCAACTCGGTTTTCAAACGATCCAATAACGATGAATAATATTCGCCTGTAATGGTTTTACCCTTTTCCAGATAGTCGATGAAGATTATTCCTTGAGAATCCCAAAAGACAATCGCCATAACCTTCCCGGCCGAAGGAATTGTCTTCGTCTTTTTCGGAGCAGATTCCCCCTTGGTAACCTATTGTTTAGACTATTCTTTGGTCTCAGGAGTGTAGTGATATATCCATGTTTCATCTACAGTGATGAAACGACGCTTAACCTTTTAAGGACGGGGATTTTTACGTTAAAATTTGACTTTTTTTTGGACAATATTTGTGCATAAAATGAAAGAATATGTCACGTGGAGTGCCTGACAAAATTGGTGGTCGATATATCGACCAGTCCCGTCCTTAAAAGGTTAAAGTCTTGCTGATTTTGCTGGAACAGCTGCAAACCATTCTTGCAACACTTCACACGATCTCGTTTTTGGTCAATCGTGAGCAATCGCAGCACCCATCTAGCGGATAGATTTTTCATGTTCAAATGTTGGTGCAAAATATTATGTATCCGTTCGCTCGAGATGCCTACAGTACTAGCAATCTCACGCACCTTCACTCTTCTGTCAGCCATCACCATATCATGGATTTCATCAATGATTTCTGAAGTAACCTCAACTGGGCGTCCAGAACGTTCAGCGTCTTTTGTGCTCATTCGGGCCACTCCGAAAATTTTGAAACCACTTTTAAATCATTCTAATCGAAGGTGCACAATCACCATAATGTTTATCAAGCTTCTGTTTAATCTCCTGAGGCGTTTTGCCTTTGAAAAAGTAATGTTTAATCAATAAACGAAATTCTATTTCGTTCATTTTTTTACAACCACTCGATTTCTTTGATTGAAACGAATGTAAAACGCAAAGTAATTGGCCGATCTGGATGAAACTTGGTGTGTGCTCTTCCAAGATATGCCACTAACTGAAAATAACCTTGGTACGAACTAGTAGCGCCATCTCTCTGACTTTGCACGGACTTTTCAAACGACCCTCGTAAAGTACCAACAAAAAGTAAACTAAACCACAAGTGAAAATTGAAAAAGTAAATAGTTTAGAAGTATAGGAATTGAGACTATAATAACTATTTATAACTATTAATATAATCAATTATTTGTTATAATTTCTTTTCTCATTGACAAATTGTAAATGATTAAAAAAGAAATAATAACTATATTAAACTTCCACTTTTGAAATTAATAATTTTTAACTGTTATTACTTGTTATTTTTCTTTATTACGAATTAACTTTACGTTTAAAAAATAATAACTATTATTATTACTCTTTTATACACAGCTATATGTAATACAATACAAATAATATTTAAAAAAAAACTGATACTATAACTGTTATTATTAATTTCGAAAAAACAAAATAGTTAATAATTATTTATAATTTATTTTAGTCTTAAATTTTACATTTACAAGCCGTTATTAATTATTTTTATCTTTTTTGTATTTATAATGAAAAGAAAATAGTAATTATTACATAAAATTTGTAATACTTGGGACATATTGTTATGCAACATGAATGTTATTCAAGAAATACATTTATTTTTCGCTATTTATATCAGGTTAGCCCGCACGTGGTTCGGTAAGGGTGGTTTATAAGGGTGGGGGTTAGGCAGGTTAGGGGTAGGTGGATAAGAGGTATGTGATTCAGCTGGGATAACTCGCTTATGGTGTAAAATTAAATTATTTCAAGAAATAACAAACGACTAAAGTTGCTTTTCCCAGGATTAGGTGGGTTAGCCTGCATGTGGTTCGGTAAGGGTGGTTTATGGGGGTTTGGTGGGTTAGAGGCAGGTTGGTTAGTTGAGGTAGCTCGCTCATGCATAGGATTAAATTATTTCAAGAAATAACAAACGACTAAACTTGTTTATCCCAGGGTTAGGTGGATTAACCTGCTGATAGTTTGACGGGGGTGGTTTCTAGGGGATGAAACACCCCTTAAACATATTTTTATTTTAAATCCGGAAACACGTCAATTTAATTTTGGTATTTTCTCATTACCAGTGCGATTTTTAAATCACTCGAGCTGATTTACTATATTACATGTCGTAAAACAGTACAAAAATAGTGTATTTATCCCTATTAAAAAGGGGGTTGCAACCCTTCGGTAAAAATGTTATGTCCTTAAAAGCGCCTTTTTATAAGAAATTTTTTAACGTTGAGTTTACTGAAAAATATTTATTTGATGCTGAGAAATATTAAAAAAACTGATTTTAGGGGTTGATTTTCAGGGTGGATTTCACCCCTTAAGAGCCCTTATGGGCCGATAAAAAAAACACGTATCTAATTTTTTTCAAGTACTACAACATATCCCAAAATCATTCAAATCGGTGAGGTCGGGTTGGGGTGGTTCCCTTGTCAGAAAGAAGTAGGCTTATGCAAAAGCTCGGCTTGTCTTGATTTCAAAGGGGAAAGTCAAAAAAAAATTGATGTTAAACCCACAAAGCTACTTATAATGCGTTATCATTTCAAGAAATTCTAGAAAAACTTAAAAGTCTCGAAAATTTACAAGGTCGAGCAGCTCAAGCTTTTCGAGTTCTTGCAGAAACCTACAAAAATTTTGAATGGTATGCGCAAAATCCATCGAGAAAAAAAATTCAGATATGCAGTGGTAACCTAAATACAAAACAATAGGGTATCCATTCTACACGCTATTCTAAATCAAACCTGACGAAAATATTAAAATTGTAACAAACATAATTAGTGATGTAATCAATGTAAGAATCAATACAACCGCTTTAGTATAATAAAATTTCTACAATCATTCATTTCATTACGAAGATTAAAAGAAATTAAGCAGTCTTTGACCAGTAGTAATAAACTTTACATAAACAGTACAATACCAAGTAACATGTACGAAATTGCATACATTTAAAGATGTTTTCATTTCTTGATAGCTAATGACATATTTTAACCCGTTTCGGCCGAAAACACCACACGCGATATACCAGTCTTTGGCATCTCGTAATTCGTTCTATATAGATGTCAAAAAAAATTGAGAAGGGCCTATTTTCAAAACTTGAATTAAGCCCTTTCTGATGGTGAACTTAAAATTGATCAAAATTATTAATATTTATGAAAAAATGGCGTTTGAACAAATTAGAATTTTCAAAATGGCACCCAAACCGCAAAATTTTATTAAATAATTCATGATTTTTTTTCTCGAAAACTATGAACTTATGGAAAAATTGCCAAGAGAAGAAAAATACTTAAAATAAATCCAAGAATACACCTGAATTTTTTCAACGAGTTTTGAGAAATTTTTTTGTTTTAGCAAATGGCAACTTTTTGCAAAATAAAAGAATTGCTCAAAATACGTCCGAAAACTTGTCATGTATTCTTTGGTTAATTCTAGAAACATTTTATTCTTATCAATTTTTTTTAAACGCACTGCTTGATTACGGCAGACAGACGATAGATGCATTTCCATGATACAACTTTAAAACTTGAAAACTTTTTTATTGTAAACAATAAATTTGAGAAGAAAATTGACAAGAATAAAATATTTTTAGAATTAGCCAAAGAATATATGAGAATTTTTTTTTGAAAGCATTTTGAGCAATTTTTTTATTTTGCAAAAAGTTGCTATTTAAAAAAAAAAAAAAAATTTTTTCAAAACTCATCGAAAAAATTCGCCTATTCTTGAATTTATTTTAAGTATTTTTTTTTTCTTAGCATTTTTTCCATAAGTTCATAGTTTTCGAAAAAAAAATTATGAATTAAAAAAAAAATTTTTGCGGTTTTGGTGCTATTTTGAAAATTCTAAGGTGAAAAGTCGATCTTAGAACCATGAATTCAACCATTGAAGTTCAACCATTTATTTCACCGGTTAAAAAGGTGCCATGTAAATTCCCAACGTGAAAGGCTTTGAAAACTAGATTTAAAAAAAAAAAAGACGGGAAAATTCATGCTTATTTTCGTTCAAACGCCATTTTTTCATAAATATTAATAATTGTGATCAATTTTAAGTTCACCATCAGGAAGGGCGTATTTCAAGTTTTTAAAATATGCCCCTCTCAATTTTTTTTTTTGATATCTATAGAACGAGTTACAAAATGACAAAGACTGGTATATCGCGAATGGCGTTTTCGATCGAAACGGATTGGAACATCGTTTGGGATCGTGCCATATTTACCTAAAAACTTCAAACGACCATCTTCGATAAAATGAGGATTATCTTCTATCACATTTTTTATTGATATTTTGACAAGTTCTGGTATATGCTCGATGCCGAGTACACGCCCACGAGGTCCAACCATGTGAGCCATACATGCAGTTAGATATCCAGAACCTGAACCGACATCTAAAGCTTTTGCACCATCAAACAATTGGTCAGTCAAAAATGTTAATGCATATGCATGCTGAAACGAAATACTTTATCAAAACTAAGAGCAAAAAGTTTTGCTTTGGTGTCTACGAATCTTAATTAACAAAAAAAACGGATGAAATAGATAAAAACTTTCTAACCATATGTGGAGCACTAATAGTAACGTTAAACCCAATTTGCCTAGGACGATCTTGATAAGGATCTGCTGCATGGCAATATTTTGCTCTATCAACTGCCAACATTGCAGCCTCTGCTTTTTCTGTCCCAATTATTTTGGCCTCTAAAATTTACTTAAGTATAATTCTCAAACAACACTTTTTAATTCTTATATAAATTACTTACCTTTTAACTTCGAAACCATTTCTTCATTTGTACTTCCCGAACAGTGCCAAGCCATTCTTATGTGAAGTATCTGCAAATAAAAGTATTTTATATTTTATAACAGTTATTTTTTTTTTTTAGATAATATTAGAAATATTATGGAATAAATAAGACAAAATGTATGCTATATTAACAAACGGTAAAGAGGCCGTTCTGATTCTTTATTTTCTGACAAGGAAGAGGACAATATTGACCCTACTAGTAATATGAACCACCTCCTGTTTTCTATACTAGCGTGATTTAGTGCTTCGCGTGCTCTTTCATTGTTTATCTGTTATTTATTTAACTATTTGTGTGATATAATCGTGACTTTACTCAATGACAGAGTTTTCAACGGTAGTAATACATTTCAACATACTTCTCGCGACTCTTAACGTCAGAAATGCCTTTAACTCCGCTCGGTGGGGGGATATTCTGGAGGCCTTACAAACTTTCAGGGTTCCTGAATACCTGATGCGGGTGGAGAGGGAGTACCTATACGACAGATGGATTCGATACAAGACGACCGACGGAACAGTGACCAGACGAATCACAGCAGGAGTCGCCCAAGGTTCAATCCTTGGACCCGACTACTGGAACATACTGTACGACGCACTACTAAGACTACCGATGCCACCGGGGGTGGAGCTGGTTTCCTACGCCGATGATATGGCTGTGGTGATAATAACCCGTACCCCGGAGCTGGCGCAAATGCTACTGAACCGCGCGATGTTACGAATCAATAGATGGATGACTGGACGCGGACTTAGCCTTGCCCTGGCCAAGACAGAACTTATCCTTCTGACGGGAAGCAGGATTAATACCCTGATTCCCATGACAGTCAGAGAGGTACCGGTGCAGACCAGTGGGGCGGTTAAGTATTTGGGGGTGACCCTAGATACGAAGATGACCTTCTGACCGCACATACAACAGACAGCGAGGAAGGCGGCAGAGAGGACTTCCGCTCTCAGTCGTCTTATGGCAAACACATTTGGACCGAGACAATGGAAGAGACGACTACTGATGACAACAACCCACTCGATCATGCTCTACGGGGCGGAGTTGTGGGCCGACGAGTTAGGGGTCAAGAAATACTGCAAACGACTGACAAACGTACAAAGACAGGGAGCACTGAGGATTGCCTGCGCCTACAGGACGGTCTCGGCTGAGGTTGTTCTGGTGGTGGTGGGGGTTATCCCGATAAACCTGCTCGCCAGAGAACGGAAACGCGTGTACGAACGAAACAGCGACGTGACCAGAACGGAAGCTGCCCAGGACGAAAAAACTAGGATGACGGACTGGAACGAACGATGGAGGACGAGCACGAACGGAGCATGGACGAGACGACTCATCGACGACTTGAGGCCGTGGACGGAGAGGTAATTTGGGAAAGTGAATTTTTTCCTGACCCAGTTCCTTACCGGCCACGGGTACTTCAGAAAATATCTGTTTGACAGAGACAAAGTTAACAGCGCTGACTGTAAATACTGTGGACACGAATGTGACGACGCAGAGCATACATTTTTTGAATGCTCTCACTGGAACGTCGAAAGGCAAAGACTGGAGACGACACTTGGAAGCATCACGCCCAACAACATCGTGGCAAAAATGCTGCAAGACAAAGACTACTGGACGGTAACGGCAACGTACGTCGAGACTATCCTACGAGGGAAAAAGGCGGACGGTTGCGTGGAAGTCGAGTGTTAGACGAGAAAATGCGAGAGTAAATGGAATGAACAAATGGATGAATGTGAATAGACGGACATAACGAAACGATACAGGACCCGTTGACAACGAGAGGACTTGACGCGGTTCTCCAGCGGGAAGTAATGCTTACACGGTTCCCCGCTGGAGAATGGTTTAGGTGGACTTTACTACTCTTCCCCGGACAGTTTACCTTCCGGTTCAAGGGAAGCGGGATTTGGACGGTCAGCTGGTCTTCGATGACCCGGAGGCTCCTTGCGTTCGATTGATAGATCGCTTGAAACAGCCCGATCTGAGAGAATCAGCGAGTCACGTCACACGGCGGGTGGGAGAGTGTAGGTGGGTAGCTTCGGTGAACTGCCGTCACACTCCAACCGTTATGGTCCATGAGGATTTATCCTGTTTTTTACCACTATAAAAAAAATACATTTCAACATACGGTAGTAGTACATTAATAATTCAATTCAACATCGTGAGTTCTTTTGTTGTCCCGTTGAAAACACCCGAAAACATTCTTCAAATTTAATATTTTGATAATTAGTTTCCGTTTTCTTCATGCCTATCATTTTGCAATATAAAAAAATAAAAAGATTAAATTCCTTCATTTTATTCCGTTCAGTTTTTATCTCTTCCAATAAAATTTTAAGACTACACTATTAATTTCACAAATGGTAATCAAATTAGCAAATCGTCCTAATTATTTTCGTATAATTTGAAAAGGTAACCTCTTTTTTTTTAAATGTCTGTTAATGGCATATTTCAATTTTTGTAGATTATTATCTAGATTAATTATTCATAAATTGAAATATAAATATCTTTCTTGTGTGTGTATATATATATATATATATATATATATATATATATATATATATATATATATGTACATACATACATACATACACACATATATATATAGTTTGTTTATTTACAACTTATATGTTACATTTGCGCATATATATATATATATATATATATATATATATATATATAGCTATTTCAAAGTATAGGAAAATATAAGTGTTTTGCACTATAACAAAACGCGTATTATATGTGGAGCCGGTACAGAGCATCCTTATTAGAGGCACTATTGATCTTTTTCTTCTTCATCTCAATTTTCTTACTTTAATTTCTTGTTTTAATCACTTCATTTGTTTAGAATCCAAGAGATAGTAATCGCAAAGCGTATGTATCTAGCTTTATAGATCTTTCATGTACAGTAAGATATTTACCAGGATACCGTATACCGGCTCCGCATATAATACGTGTTTTGTTATAATGCAAAACACTTATTTAGGCCGGGTATACGGCATCCTCATGAAAGAAGTGTCTATTATCTACTGAATACCATTTGACTCAATGCTATGTGATCAATAATAAATAGAAATAATTTTGTTTATTAACAGTAAAATTACCAATGAGTAAACACAATAATCAAAATTAACAATTTCGTTTACAATAAAATTGCTTCAAAATTACGCCAACTCTGTTTTCATAAACTTATCTCATCAGCAGACCAATTTTTCGTTAATTCAGACCACATCCAACCATCCACACTTGCAGAGTAAGCTAATCTACACGACTGGTTGGTTATCCCGTTGACAGATTGATTCAGTACTTGTTCAGTTCCAGAATCTCCATTGATGGTTCTTCGCTTCTGTTCACAAAATTTGATATCCAAAATATCTGGTTCCATTTGGGTGCAGTTATCAAATATCGACCTTGACAATTGTTCAGTTGAGTGAGTACTCTTGGAATCAAATTCGAAGGTGGAAAGATCCGTGCTATCTTAAACTTCCAAGACCTGCTGAATTCTTCAGTCTACTGAGACATAGCGACTCACAACTGCCAACTTTTGTGAAACAAACAGGTCGACCTCCGGAGTACCCCTCTTCATGAATATCTTGAGTCACGCTTCTTCTAGAAGATGCAATTCGGGTCGTAAACGCTTTCTGTACAGACAATCGTCTACACCGTTGTACCTACCCGATAAATATGCTGCTGACAGAGTTATGTTTAAAGAGTCGACTATTTGTAGAACTTGAAAAGTCAAATCGAGAAGCTAGATCGAACGTGTGCCACCCTCCTTATTGATGTAAATGACAAAAGTGCGATTGTTCGACTGAACAAGAATATGTGCATCTTGAAGTTCTTTGGCAAGTTTTTCTATAGATGCACGAACTGTATAAAGTTCTTTCATATTCGAGTGCCATGATCGTAGAGTTGTTGTCCAACAACCCGAAAGAAGTTTGTCGTTTAACTGGGTTCTCCAACCTGAATCTACAGCATCCGTTGTTATATAGTATGTGATCGAACTCTTGTGTAAATGAATTGTCGAAAAAACAGCTTCCTTCCACCAATTCAACTCTGCGATTACTTGCGATTGAATCAGAAGTCTCTCTCGCTGTCTGGCTTGTTGAAAATTCTTCTAAAATTGTTCCAGATAACGGCAATGAAGTCGGCCTTTGTGTATTGCGAAATTGGCAAAATTCAGACTGTCCAATAAACTCTGAAAATGTTTGAGAGAACAACTCTTGTCTCTTAGTATCTTTTTCAAGTCTTCTGAAATTTTAATAATTTTATTTTCTGGCAGGCGTACAAGATTTGCTTATGTGTTCCACATGAGTCCGAGAAAATCGATCTTCTGACATGGTTCTAGAACACACTTGTGCTCCTTGATCTGCCAACCCAGATACTACTAGAAGTTCAGTACCATGGGAACTTGATTCAACAACTTGGTTCTGTTGTGAGAGGCCAATAGGAAGTCGTTTAGGTCGACAATCAGTCTTATACCTCACGAACGAAGGATCTCTGCAATCCAGTTCATTATCATCGCGAAAATGTAAGGTGCAGATGAGAAGCCAAAGGACAAGTTCGTCATCTGAAGCTATTCGCCTTGATAAATAAGTCGAGGGAGTTTGTGATGAGATTTTGCAATCAGAATATGAAAATAAGCTTGACTGAAATATATTTTCACCATCCAATTTTTGTCCTGAAGAAAATTTGGAATTTGGTAATAAAAAATTAGACTGAATTTTCTTACGTGAACGTGTAAGTTTAGAGCTCTCAAATCGAATATTAGACGGTCTTCACCCGAAGACTTCTTTGTCAAAAACATCTTTAAAATGAAGCTGTGGCCCATATAAGAGATTTTTCCTCTTTACTTCTTAAAATCTTTCTTTCTTCTTTTGCTCTTCTTTGCTTCTTTTTTCTTTGCTCTTTCTAAAATCTTCTGCTCTGTATTTAGCCAAACTTGAGCTCCATCCAAAGCCAAACCACAAAGATTGCATGAGTGATATTAAACTTTCTTTTGCAAAAAGATACTCTACACTTGGATATAATCGGCGTAAAGCCATCTTTAAATTCTTATTAGAATAAGCTTTATAATCAAACGCTCCTTTTTGGCTTCAATACATTCAGCCCTTTTGCCACAAATGATCTGCAAATTCTGCACATAATTTTTCATTAATGGAGAATTATTTCCAAAGGTTGAATTCAATCTCTCAAAAAGCGTTTGAATTTTTCAATCAGCAGAGTTTGCCGAAAAACTATCAATAATACTCTGAAGGCCTAATATGAGTAATACTCTGTTTTCTAAAACAGCATTTGATAAACTTGCCAAAGCACAATCTGTAGGAGCATCCAGATTTTCTCTAAATGACAAAGCTCCTCATTTATCTATAAATCAACAAAACTCGAAACTGGTAAAGCTTTTCAAAGCAGGAGCGTATCTAATCTCTAATCTTTAAAAAAATAACGACAATAATACGCTTATCATCGACCGAAGTCTTCAACACACAAAAATTCAGAGTTCTAGGATCAGCAGGTCTGCGGTTACGAAGTCTAGTGATCTTTCGGGAATACATTTTGAAGTAGAAGGTTAGGGACACTTGAACGAATCAAATTAAATAAATAATCTATCTGTTGTTGCATTTTATGGTAACTGTGGTCATGACGGTCAAGTCAAGGTCGTTTAGGAGGCGGAATTCTAGCTTGAGATGTTCTATCATGCTCATCGCTTGAAACATCTTCATTCGAACCAGACAAACTGGAACCGTCACCGTCATAATTGGACTCGCTGATCTTGATCAAGTAAAATAAGACAAATACAACAATAAATAGAAGAATTAAAACGCTTTGTGCAAGAACGAAATTGTTTTTTTGACGTTTTTATGTGGTGAAAAAACACAATGCTATAAAGCTAGATACATACGCTTTACGATGACTATCTCTTGGATTCTAAACAAATAAAGTGATCAAACAGGGAAGTTAAAGTAACAAAATTGAGATAAAGGTGAAAAAGATCACTAGCGTCTCTCATGAGGATGCCGTGTATCCGTCCTAATGCATATAATTAACAATTTCGTGCTCCTTTTAAGTATCAATCAATTACAATGCTGGATGTCGACGATTCATTATTTTTTTAAAATAAGAAAGGCTTTACCCTAGATTTCGGAATGTTTTTTACTATGATTATTCCACATCATAATCCATAAACTTTTAGTCATCGTTTTTATAGACTTTTGAACATTTCCGCACGCGTGTCACCAATATTTCTTAATTATTATTCAAAATTTAATATATGTGTAAACTAATTCTGATATTTATTGTTTCTCAATTTCCTCAATCACTGATAAATACAATGAGCCATCTTCAAAATTATTTTTCATCGATAGAAAGCTATTCTATACTTTTTTAAGTAAAAAAAGGCCTTTGGGGGTATACGGACTACTATATCATTTTGTTACATTCATTGATGTCTATATATTTCTTTGCTTTATTAAGTCTTTTTGACTTGAATTTAAGCAAGCAATTCAAAATGGCGACAAGTGTACACACAGTTATATAACTTTTGTCGAGTTAAGGAGTATCCACACGCGGTCCCTCTTTCTTCGCGACCCCGGCGTGAGGTCGTCCTCGTCTGAGTTTTTGTATGCGAACGCCATCTCTATAATTTCGAGTTCATAGATCAAGATGCGTATCTTGCATTTATTATAAAACTTACCACTGAGCTCGAAGTTATAGATGGCGTGTGCATATAAAATCTCGGACGGGGACGGCCCCGGGGTCGGATAGGAAGAGGGATCCCGTGTGGAAACTTACTTACAAGCCAGGCACGAGCATCTAGCAGTTTGTGAATACCGGATTATTGTTTTTGTTTGTAAAAAATTTGTAAAATAACGGTTAATTAACATTTATTTGTATTACTGAAGACTCAGGGCACGTACAAACTACAACAACAGGTGATACATTTACGACTTTTGCTATGCTAGCTATTTTTTTACTACGAATAATTTGATGTAGGTTTGTTATTACTTAGAATATCTATATTATCTGTTAATAGTATAAATGAATATATATTTTTCGTTTTAAGTAATTTTTGTTTGACATAATTTTGTGATCCGTAAATATAAATTTTATTGGTTCTCTACACGCGAAAAAGTCAATGCACATACGTAATATTTGAATTATAAAATTAATATAGTATGTATTATACTTTTATAAGAAATACGTGATATTCTAGTGTTCTTAGGCTTTTTACATAGAAAATAAAAAAATTTTATACAAATTTTAGAACAAATTTGTTGAGTGTCTATAATACCTTTATTTTTTTCAAAAATCCGTTTTCGGATCTTTTCTGTAAAAAGAATGTTCGGTATTTAAAAATTATTAGAAAAGGATAAATCACAGAATTTTAGAATTTAAGAACTAAGAAAATACGATGACCTTGCAACCTTTTGTCAAAAAATTTTCTAATTTGTAGGCTTGTTAAGTCTAGGAAGAGTATAGTTGAACCAGCGTACAATATTTTGATGCAATTTTCTTTTTCTTTTTAAAAATTCTTCCACCGCAAAAGATTATAGGAATTATTCATGTTCGGCATTGTTACATTATCTTGATCGCACAAGGTATCCAATTAAAGCTTTTAATTTCTATTATTCATGTCACTTTGTAAAATTGTTATGGATAGATTTTAACTAGAGTTAATTTTAGTGATTTTCACATGATACCAATAAATATAAAATGTCAAAAAAAAGTAGTACGTATGAACTTTTATAATGTTCCCGAACATTTTTTACGTTTATTTATTTAAGAAGTATTTATATGCGACGATTGTGATTTAGTAATATCGATATTAAAAGTTATTATAAGCGAATAATAAAATATTACGAATAAATGTTACGGATAAATTTCTCAAATTTATAATTTGTATTAAAGTACTCATCGCAGATAAATAAAAGTAAATTCTTTTTTTACATATAACGCGCTAATTTTGCTATTTTTGTTTTTTAAAGAAAAATCAAAAAGTCAAGTAAAAAATAGTATTGTTTTTATTGACTAAATATCATAAAGAAAGCTCAAACTTTATTCTACGGCGCGTAAGTTTTTTATATAATCATGGTTTAAAAAAATCAAAATAAAGTCCAACGGCATTCAATATTAATTAATGTAATAAACTGTAGACTGATTTGGCAGCATATCTATGTGCACTCTGTCAAAAACACATCATAAATTTTTCATTAAATTTAAAAAGATACAATAATAGAATTTAGCTTAATGTTTACCTTATGAAACCTTCTTATAAATTAAAAAAATTAACGAAAACCACGACTAATTAATTTTATTGTAGTCTTAGAAGTTCAAATAAATCAAATCAGTTGCATCAATATTATAGTACTTTTTTGAAAGGGTTAATTAACCAATCGAGTTTCATCAATTAATTCGTACCTTGTTCACTCGTTGTTTAAAATTCACATAATTCTTTAGACAGTTAACAAATACATTACGAACAAAGAAAACGTCAACTAGTATCGAGGTTGCTGTTCTAATTACGACTGCCAGCTGTAAACTACATAGCAGCTATTTGGATAATGCATACTATAGATGCATCAACCCTATTGAATGTTTGTCTGTTTTCATTGAAGCGTCGACTAAACTCCAATTTTGTCCGGACATGTCTTCTGCTTCTCACAATCAGTTATAGTGATTTCAGAGAGGCAATCACAGTGGATGAAATTTCACTATACAGTATATGTGTGAATTATAATTATTGTAAATAATTATTGTAAATAATTATTATTGAACATTAAAAAAACTTTAAATTGTAAAATAATTTTTATTATTAGTTTCATTGACTCATCAATGATTCAAACCATTTGCCTCTGATCATCGTAAACCATTTTTTTATGGCGTGTCTTATTGTTTTAAAAATACTCATGTGATTTATAAATTTTTTGTAATTGAAAATCGCAGTTGAAGAACTTGAGACAAAGAGAGAGAGAGAGAGAGAGAGAGAGAGAGAGAGAGAGAGAGGAGGAGAGGAAGAGAGAGAGAGTGAGACGAGAGAGAGAGAGAG